TACACCACTAGTAGTAGTTGTAGTAGTAATAGTAGAAGTAGTAGTAATAATAGTAATAAAAATAGTAATAGTAATAATCATAATTTTAAAGACTGGAGGTTGAAGTTCACATTTACAGCTGCCCATTAGGCCTTTCGTTTCCAATTTCATTTTATTTTACGTTGTTTTCTAGTTCAAAGTTGTCTGTCAGTCATTGACTTACCTCTTTTTATTGCAAAATCGTACCAAATTATGTCTGCACTTCAACCCCATTTCACTCTTTTATCATGATATAAAGGAGGTGAAAATTTATATTTCTCTGACAACGGGTGCCAGTTGGTCAAATAATACATCATCGATTTATATTGTTTGGTCGGGGTGGGGTGGGGGAGGGGGTGGGGGTCGGCATTACATCCTCTGTCGAATTGACCTCAGCTCTGCTTCATGGTATTTGATCTTGCCTCTCCTATTCCAAGAGAAAATAACAGATATTTACTCCGCATTGCGATTCTGATTGGCTATTGACTACGATTTAATACAATTGAACCTGATGATGACCTAGAAAACTCTAACATTTCTGATGTCGGAGGATTTGATCAAGTTGTGCCAAACTGGTAGTTTCCCCCTTCCATGGATTAAAAGAAAATACAAAACCAATATTAAAAAGAGGATTTGAAAACGAAAATCTGTCCGCAACGTCAATTTTGCTTTCGTTTAGTTTTAGTAGAGGTTTTACGGCGTTCGCAACTGATTTTGCTTTCAACGTGGCCCTGCCATTAGTCACTTGAATTGTACTGTTCATAAGTGAACAAGCTTTAACAAAAGAGGAATTCAGCAGAACAAAAAAAATCAGATGTTAGCTGTTAGAGATTGTAATGCTTCTTCTGTCTCCTTCGAATAATGTACCCCTGGGCCTGAGGCACAGGGTCCAGGCCAGTGCCTCTATAACTTTCCATTTCGGTGCACTTTGGACTACTATAACCAAAAATTATTATACATTCTAATTCATGGATCGTACAAGTTGCATTTTAAAGGTTACAGCAATTCTTGTTTAGTTGTAAGAAACTGAGACATCAACGAATTTCACCTGTTAATGTGTGTGTGTGTGTGTGTGTGTGTGTGTGTGTGTGTGTGTGTGTGTGTGTGCGTGTGCGTGCGTGCGTGTGCGTGCGTGCGTGCGTGCGTGCGTGCGTGCGTGTACGTGTGTGTTGATAGACGACTGCGATTGATGAGTTTTCAATGCCCAACTAGATTAACAATCTAATTAGCTCTAGAAAACCTTTTTTCTTTTGGTTTTGCGGAGGTTAAATGGCCCTCTAGTTACAGTGTAGGTCATTATGAGAGCACAGTCTAAGGCGCTTCTTGCGATAATGAACTGACAGGATATTAGTGTTTCAGCAAGAAGAGGGACCCGCCCCCCAAAACCCCCCCCACCCCAAACCCCCCCCCCCCCAAAAAAAAAAAAACCCCAAACAAAAACCAAACAAAACAACAACAACAAAAAAGAGACCCCAACAACAAACAAACAAAAAACATTGATTCCTCTCCGATTCGGATCCCGAACTTGCTTGAGTAAACAGTTTTCGTTACCAGCAGCTGCTTTGCCTTTGTAACAAAGGCTAAAAAAGCGAACAAAATTGAACATTGTTTAGAAGATTATTGGGCTACGTGAACAGACAGCAGTTTAAGCAGATTGCTTTAAAATTTCAGACTTCTTCTAATTTGTTTCGACAAACCTCTGGCAAGTGAGCAGCTCTGCTCACTTTCAAGGAGTTTTGTTTGTGTGTGTTTATGAGGGGGAGGGGGGAGGGGGGGCCTCTAAGATTCTATGTCTGCTCATTAAACAAAACCAGACTAGCAACGACAACTTTTTGAACAGGAGGGGGAAAAACAAACAACAGTGGAAGGAGTGAAACAATTGTAGTTGTTTTTGCAGACCAAAATTGGCATCAGGTAACAAGAGCTTTCTTCACTTTTTTCTTGTATCGACAGCCTTTGATCTTCAGCTTCCATGTAAAGGCGGACGCTGCTGCTTTGCCGATATCTGCCGGTGATGTCGATGCATCGTTACCTCTCCGTGTGTTTGGATGAGAGTTTTCAGCTGGTGTCAACTGCCGCACACAATTGTTATGATCATTGTTCTTAGGATCCGGTTTTTCAAAAGGCTCACAGTTGCTATCGTTGCCATTGCTACGCAGAATGACATGTCTACCTTCTCCGCGATTGGAACGTTTCTGCGATTGTTTCGGCGAGTGTTTGTTCCGCCCGCGGGAATTATCAATTGCGCCACTTCTAGACCACACTGGGCTGGAGTGGTGGTCGATGGGGTCCAAACTGCCGGACAACGAATCGTCAAGCGAGGCATATGAGGCATGGATAAGTTTAATATCTGTAGTGTCGCTGCTGTTTCTGTGGGCCTTCATGTGGCTCAGGTCAGGCTGCAGCGGGCTTATAGGATTTGCCAGTTTGGCTGTAAGCTGGTGCACGTCTGCCAGACGCTGCATATCAGAGTGGCTTCTACAGCTGGGAAGTTTGCACATCGCGACGTCTTCAGTGCGCACATCGCGTTGATGGAGATTCCCGTTGATGCTGCTTGGTCTGGACAAATGTCCATTCATAAGGCCTCCGTTGACTGTACTGCCGAGTGGAGTTTTCAGTAGGCACGAGCTACCCAAGGGCGAGCCGTTCAGCAGCAACTCACCGTTGCCATGGTTACTGATAATGCTGAGGTGGGAGGTACAAGAGTAGAAGGAGTTGCTTTTGCATAAGGTCAGGTGAGAAGATTGAGACATACTGTCTGAGAAATTATTGAAGCCGCCTAGGTATTGCCCTGGTGTGAGAAAAAAACTGGGGGAAGGAGGAGCGGTTTTGTTCGGGGAGGCGGGGCCCGGGTGCGCACGTGCACAGTCGGCTGGCAGTAGGGACGCTGGCATGTCAGTGGAGTCTGGGCGGAGCTGATGGTTGATAGAAAGAGGGGGTGCTGCTTTAGTTCTAGGAGTGTCGCCAGTCATAGTCTGGCCGTTCTCTCTGGGATGGGCGGGGTTTGTGCGGAGTATTGGGTTTATCTGGTACTCCGAGACTGCAATGTGGGCGGGGTTTGCCGTATGGTCGGGGCTTGTAAATGATTTTTGCTTTGTGTGGGTCTGGTGGTCCTCACGGGAGGCTGCAGTGCTACTGCTCTCTCTGTCCACAGCCTCAGCAGAGTTTGACCCAGAGGCTGGAGAGGTTGAAGCCCCGCCCCCTGTCCTGTACGTCCCTGTGTGGCTGATAGACAAAAAGTCGCCCTCGGTTTTCCTCACAGATGCCGCCATGCTGTACGAAGAACTAGAGTTGCCCAACGTGTCCCTGTCCCCTGCCTGACAGCTGGTGGGCTTATTAGTGACGTACACACCACCGTGAACAACGGTCGGAGTGACCACAGAACCGAAGTGACTTCCGTGTGGAAATGACGTAGCATCCAGTGTCGGTTCGCAGATGACGATGTCCGGTTTTGAGCTCGTCAAGGCGATGAACTCCGTCATGAAGCGATAGATGTACCGGTACTCCTCCTGAGAAAGACACACAATTGTTTCGTTTAGGTTGAATTTGAAAACAGAACACACAGGCAGAGCGATACGCATGGTTAATTTTGCATTTCATAATTTCAATGTTAGGCACAGCTGCACCATTCCCCCTCCCCTTCTCCCCCCCC